CGCGCGCGCGCGTGTGTGTGTGTGTGTGTATCTGGATAAGGGCCTCCCTGGGGCGCTGCGCCTGACGCCAGGCCAAAAATTGCCCGCCATCTGCCCTTGCCCCCGCGACGGGCCGGTCCCGCCCCCGGGCGCGTTGGCTCTCACAAGAGCCGAGCCCCTGCTAGTTCCCCCCCGCCGCCGCCCCCTCCCGCGAGACGGCCGGCTGCTGCGCCCGGCAGGCGCCGCCGTCTACGGGCTCTCCCTGGCAGGGGCGCGGGCTGTCCCCGGCCATGCGTTGGGACTTGGCTTACCGAGTGATCGGGCATGACCTCTCTCCATGTGAGGGGGGCGTCCATGACCTGCCGCGCGGCAGATCTCGAGCACCGGCGAGGGGGGGAGGCTTTTTTCGGGGGCAACAGTGTCAGTCCTTCCCGGGGGGCCAGCCCCCGTGTGCCAGTCACCTCCCTCCCTCCTGCCCCTCCCTCCTGCCCCTCCGTGCCCCCCCCCCCCTCTTGACACGCAGCTCTCCGCCTCTTCCCGCTCCCCTCTCGGTTTCCCTCCCGTTGACTCGCTCACCCACTTGGCGCGGCCAGTCGCCAGTCGCCCCCAATAGGGTTGGGTGAGCTCCGGCCCCCGGGATTGCCCACCGGCAGGATGAGTTCTCCCCTGCTGGCGCTGTGTGTTTTCTGCGAGCAACATGGCCCCTCGATTGTGACCTGCACACAGTTGGCCTCCGCGCACGCGGTAGGAGAGCTGGCGGCCGCGGCCGCGGCCGCCGAGCTGTCCGGCGACCCTGGCGACCCGCCCGCCCGGAATCCATGCTCGTGGTGTGACCTCTTCCCACGCGATGTCCCCGTGCGCTTGCGCCTCGTCCCTCATGCGTCGTCTATGTGCCCGAACCCCTGCGCCACAAGCGCATTCCCATCCTCCCCTAACCCCCCCCCCCCTGCATCTCCCCCGGCCAGTTCCTTGCGTCTCCGGTTCCTGACGCCGGGCCCGAAGCCGGGGAGTACCTCCTCACCACGCCACGGGGACCGTTCGATGCGCGGCTCTACTCTTGCGTGCAGCACGCATGCGTGCGCAGGTGCGCCCGGGATCTTGCCCCGTTGGTGGATCTCAGTCCCTGCCTTCCCTGATTGTGCTCTTCCTCACCTCGGCGCAGTATGTGTCATGGCTTCCTGCCGGAGAACCGCGGCCTCTTCCTCTTTTCCGAGTCCCCCACCAACAGTGGCTTCACTTCGGCCGGCGGGCCGGGTCCCAGCGGCAGCGCGTCTTCCCTGGACTTGGGTCCCCTGTGGCTTCCGCCCTCGGGCTCTGGCCGTCCATCGCAACATGACAACTGCCCAGGCTGGGGCGGCCTTGCCTCCTGCGGCACGGCCCTGGCGTACCTCTTTTCCGTGCGGGATTTCTCGTGTCGTGGCCGAGTGCGCAAGTACTCGCTGATCCTGCTGTCCTCCGACCGGTCGCAAATCACACTTCACTCGGAGGAAATTGCAAGGTGTGTCTTGCCGCCGCCGCCGCCGCCGCTGCCCCCCCCCCCTCCCCCCCGTCAAGCGGGGAGCTAACCTTCTTGCCTGACGCTTTGGCCTCTCGATGCAGCAACCTCAAGGCCATCGCCTCGGATTTGTGCTTCCAGGCCGAGTCCCTCTTCCAGTTCGAGTACAAGCTGTCGGCCAAGTACCAGGTCGACTCGTCGGGAATCCACCCCCCCCGGGCGACCGGGACCATGCCCAGCCGCCTGGCCGGGCGTGATGGCTGGTGGAGCCTTGCACATCTAGTTGGTGTGGGCGGACACTTGCTGCTGGCATCGGCCGGGCGCGAGGCCGGGCGGCCGACCCCCGGTCCCGGCAGCCGTGCCATTGTGAGCGTGCGGTTCTGGCCCGGGGAGGCCGAGGCCCGGGCCTTGGCACACGACTCGCTGGTGGCCCTCCATGGGCAGCTTGCCATTGCGCTGGCCTCCTTCGAGCCGCCAAGCCAAGCCCCGCCGCCGGGGCCACGCCTACTCGGCAGCAGCCTGCCGGCCGGCACGTGTGCGTCGAGCCGCTGCCCACCGCCCTCCTGCCCCGCCTTGTGCCCCCCTTTGGGCCATCCTATGGTGACCAGCCGCCACTGACGGGATCTCCCCTGCTCCCTCCCCGTGGTGCATGAGACAGTCGAGGAGGAGGACGAGCTCGGATCGGCACATCCGGTCTTCGACTCGGTGCACATCTTTCGTCAGCTGCTCGGCGGCCAGGCACCCTTCATCCTGCTTCTGCACCATCTGTGCGTCGGAAACCAAGTCATCGTGCGCGGACCATGTCTCGGGATTACCCGCTCGGTGCTTCTACTTCTGGCGGTGCGTGTTGTCTGGCTGGTGCTTTTTTCTCCTTGCAATCTCTTTCCTCTTCTCCCCGTCCGCGGGTCCCCCTCGTCCGGCTAACCGCGTGCGTTTGTCGGCCCCCCCTCCCTCCCCTTTAGGAGCTCCTCCCCCCGGGGTGCATCCATCAGCGTGTCTTCAGCTCGGAGTATCTCCCCCCCTGGAGGGCGAATCTCCTTGGCCTGTCGCATGATGTGTCGCTCCCCCTGTCGGACCTTCAGCCCGGCACATATGCCATTGTCGGTGCGCGCTTTCCGTCTACCCTGCGGTGGTTTGGCCTGTCTCTGCTGCTCACCTCGGCTCGTGCCGCTTCTCTGGTCAGACATCCTGCCAACCAGCCTGTCCGGCGCGACGGTCGACGCGCTGCTGAGCCAGGGCGGCGCGTCGCCCACCGGCGCGCTCGGCATTGGCGGCCCGCGGCATCGAGTCGAAGACCTGTTTGCCCTGCGGCTGACGGCCGACGCGCCGCTTTGTGACAGTGGCCCGGCCGGCCCGGCCGCCCGGCCGGCCGAGACATCCAAGTCCACTCTCTGGTCGCTGTTCCTGCCTCTGACTTCCTCCTTGACTCTGGCCCCGGTGCCGGGTGGGCCGCTGCACCTGAACTCGGCCAAGCCGCCGCAGCGCCCCCCGCGGCCGACGCTCGAGGCGATGCACGCCAGGCCGGCCTTTTCGACCCCCCCGCAGGCGGTATCCTCCTTCGGTGCGTGCTGGCCCTTCCCTTGATGCGGTCGATTGTGGCTGTCTGCTTGCCGGCTTTGACAGTAGCAGCCGCGCTTCGTGGCCGAGCCGGGCCGGGGTCTGACACATCCGCCGCCACTGCAGCTCCCCCCAAAGCCCTGTCGCTGTTTTCCTATCGTGACGGCTACTCGCACTATGATCCGGCCCAAGCGAACAGCTATGCCCTGGGCCTGGCGGCCCTCCTGGACCTGACCTCCGAGGGGAATCTCTTTGAATTGCAGTTGCTCATTTTCAAGGAGGAATGGATGAAGTGCGTGGATGCCCCATCGCGCGCCCTGCCGCCGGCGGCCCTGCCTGGTCATTTACCCCGGACCGCTCTTGTCCCCCGCCACGCGCAGCCTGGCCAAGCTCTTCTTCACCTTCCTCCAGTCGGCCGTGGTCCTGCCCCAATCGCAAACCCCCACGGAGCTGCTGAATCTCCTCGCCGGGTATGGGCTCTCGGCTGATCGCCTCTCGCCGGACATCATCACCAACGTGGAGCTGGCCAACCCGGCCACCCGGGCACGGGCCTTCATCCGTTTGCTCGGCCTCAAGGCACCGAATGGCCCGCAGCAGCAGCAGCAGCAGCAGCAGCAGCACAAGCAACCCCCAGGGGGCAGTGCCGCCGGGGCCGCCTGGCAGACCACGAGCCTGCCCCCGGAGCCCGAGCCTCCGGCCAATTCGAGCACCGGTCCGGTGGTATCCAACAACCTCCCCTGCCAGGTGTGCAAGATTCGCTTCGCGGCCCGGTGCCGGGTCCCGTCCATGGCCTCGCCCATCCCGCTGCCGGGGTTCGCCGCCAAGGCCGCTCCTCTGCTGGCGGAAACCGGGACATCGCTCTCGCCTAGTGGGGCCTTTTCCCCGCCCGGCGTCCTTCCCAGTTGGCTGCGCTTCCGCACGTCACTGCCGCCGGCACAGCCGCCAGCGGCGCCTCCTGCCGCCCCCGCCATCCCGCTGTCCCCCCCTTCGGTGTCACTTTCGCGGAGTTCCTCCCTGGAGTCCTTCGTCATCATCGAAAGCGGGTCCATCAACTCCGAACCCAGGTCCGAGGGCCATGTCCCCTTGAGAGATCGGTCAGCCCCGTCGCTCGGCAGCGGCACCGCCCTCCAAGATGGGTGCGATTTTTCTGCGCGAGCTGCAGGGCCCTCGCAGCCATCGGCATCGGCATCGGCATCGGCATCGGCATCGGCATCGGCGTCAGCGGCGTCTGCTTCGGCGGGGCCACCGCTCCCGCCGCCGCCGCTGCCACCGCCGCCGCCACCCCTGGCCGACATTACTGTGGCCAGCACCGAGGGTGATATGACTTGGGGTCCGGCGGCGGCGGCGGCGGCGGCGGTGGCAGCTCCCCCGGCTCCGGCGCCCGCTGGCTCGCCCCGGCGTCCAGGTTGGCGCGTTTTCGGGTCCGACGATGAGGCTGTCCTGCTCTTCTTCATTCGTGGCCTGGATCCCCAGACCCGGGGCTCACTACGTGCTGGGCCTCCCGGTGGGGCGTATTTGCGCGGTGCCGCATCGGCCGCCCCGCCACCGGGGGGGCCCTCTGGTGGCCGGGCAACGCCGGCCGCACGATCGGCGCCACACAGGCCCCTCAGGCGTGAGAGCTGATTTCCGGCCCCGTGGGCTGCCAACCAATAGACCTGCCATTTCTTCCCGGGCCCCGATCGATGGTCGATCCTCGCCAGTGTGGTGTGCTCCGGGGGGGGGGGGGGGCCTGGTGTTCCCCCCGCCCAGTCCCCGCCCCCTTGGGCCTCGTGGGGGTGGGCCTTTTTTGCCGGGCTTCGTCCGTGCGTGACTCGTCTGCCCGGCTCTGGGGGGGGGGGGGCTGCGGAGTGGAGTATTTCCGCGAGTGCCATCCTCCTCGGGGGCCTGATGGGTATTCTGCCATTCCGCCCCCCCTCTCCTGCCCCGCCCCGCCCCCCCTCTCTGCGCTTCCTGCACCATCCCTTGCCCCCCCCCGGCGAATCATGTCCCCGACCTCCACATCAACAGCCGGGGTTCTGGCTGGCTCCTTCAGCTCCAAGCTCTTCCTGCGGCACTTGCGTACGGCCGAGCTCGGACGTCGTTTGCACTGGCTCAATGTCACGGAGTCCACCATGCGCGTGGGCCAGGACCTGTTGGACGAGGCGTTCCCCTTCCGGGCCCCGGGGCCGGGGGCGCCGCCCCCCGGGGGCGCCGCCGCCGTGGCCGGGCTCCTGATCGGGGCCGATTCGCAAACGGCCGGCGTCGCGCGCACGGCCGGCCGGAGCTGGGACTCCGCCGGGGCTGGCGCCACCGAGCCGGCTCTCCTGGCTCCCGGCAACCCGGACGCCGGCAGCCGGGGGAACCTCTATGTCACCCTGCTGCTGGTGGTCCCCCGGCCGGAGACACTGATGCAAATGCTCCCGGCCGCGGCGTCGGCGACGGTGCTGGCCGCGCGTGATGCGCTGCGCTCGGTCACCGGCTCGCCGGCCGGGCTCGGGACCACGGCCGATGGCTGGTCCGGCTCGCTGGAGCCGGTCCTCAAGTGGCCGAATGACGTGTGGATCGGCGGCCGCAAGTGCGCCGGCATGCTGGCCCGGTCGTCCATGCTCCCCAACGGCGCGGGCTTCGGTGTGATGATTGGCGTCGGCATCAATGTCAACAATGTGCCGGAGGTCATGTACGCTCGGGCTTGGCGTTTGGTGGCCGGCTCGGCGCGCCGTCGTCGGCCTTTCCTCCTTCCCCTGCACCTGCCCTGCCTGGCCTCCACCTCGGCCTCGGCCCCTGCTCTTGCATTCGCCTTTTTGCCCCTCCCCTGACTCCCCCCCCTGCCCCTCCTGGCCGGCCCCGGGCCTTGCGCCGTTACCGCTCTCGACCGGACGCATGTAGCTCTTCCCCTTCGGCCATGCGGGCATTTAGCTCGCGGCCGACCAGCCTGCGTGAGCAGGCCTTCCACGCACCGGGCTCCGGGGATTTCATCCCGCGCGAGCTGGTGCTGGCCTCCTTCCTCAACCACCTGGAGGACCTGCTGTCTCGGCCGATGGCCCATACCATCACCACCATGCAGGGGCTCGATTGTGCGGTCGGCCGTCGGCTGTTGATTTCCCCCTCCTACGTGCCGCACTCCAGCACCCCGGCGCCGGTGGCCGAGTCAGACCGTGGGGCCGGCGCCGCCGCCGGGCTCCTGCCGCCGGGGGCCTTCGAGGCCATTGGCATGTCCATTTCCCCGCTCGGCGAGCTGGTTGTGCGAAACACCGCCACCGGCCAGGTTACCACCCTTGCCTCCAGCGAGGAAATCAGCATCCGTCCGATGCCGGGAAGTGCCGCCTGAAGCCTCGGCATAGCTGCTTGCTTTTTGTTCGCCAGTTTGCCCGCCCGTGTGTGTGCGCCCGGTGTGCATGCGCACATGTTGGGGGTGGGGGGGGGGTGCTCGCTGATCCGCCCGGG